TATAATCTATAGGATAGTTGCCTTTACTCTTTTATCCTTTTGATATAGAAAAAGTTTTGCATTCAGAGGGCACTATAAAATGTGTAAGGAAACCATGAAAACTGTAATTAGAGAACTGTTAAATAATTAACATGTTTCTAGTGGGAATTTGTAATTTTTTTTCCCTTCTTGTCACAGCAATTCTCTTGGTAATCGATGTTCTATCTTCAGGTTCCTTGGCATGTTCCATGTGGTGGTGTCTGCTATGGAGATGGAAATTTGGTTTTCATTGCAAATGATTGGCACACTGCATTACTGCCAGTTTACTTGAAAGCATACTACAGGGATCATGGACTAATGAAATATACAAGATCTGTTCTTGTAATTCATAACATCGCTCACCAGGTTGGTTCCTTCCTATTGGCTAGGACAAGCACATTTTCTTTTTGAATTCAACACCACTGGGCAATTTGATAGCTACTAAGTGAGATGATTTATGTGTTTTGATTCTAAGAAGAAAGTTTTTACAAGAATAAAGTTAGCAGTCTAGAAAAACTTGCAGAGATTTTCAATTTGAAATATTACTTCCTGATGCATGGAAGTCTATGATTGATTTTCTACATTCTGTAGTTAATACTGTTATATCCAGGGTAGAGGACCAGTGGAGGATTTCTTCTCTGTGGATCTGCCTGAACACTACATTGACCTTTTCAAATTATTTGACCCTATTGGAGGCGAACACTTCAATATTTTTGCTGCCGGTCTAAAGGCTGCTGATCGTGTGGTCACTGTGAGTCATGGATACGCCTGGGAGCTAAGAACTTCTGAAGGGGGATGGGGTTTGCATGGTATCATAAATGAAAATGACTGGAAATTGAGTGGCATCGTAAATGGTATTGACACAGAAGAGTGGAACCCAGTGTCTGATGTTCACTTGACATCAGATGGTTACACTAATTACTCCCTGGAGACACTGCACATCGGGAAGCCTCAGTGTAAGGCAGCTTTGCAGAAAGAGCTTGGTCTGCCTGTACGTGAGCATGTCCCAGTGATTGGTTTCATTGGGAGGTTGGATGACCAAAAGGGTGTTGATCTCATAGCTGAGGCAGTTCCATGGATGATGAGTCAGGATGTGCAACTAATCATGTTGGGCACTGGTAGGCCTGACCTAGAACAGTTGCTCAGGAACTTTGAAAACCAATACAATGACAGAATAAGGGGATGGGTTGGATTTTCTGTAAAGACAGCTCATAGAATAACTGCTGGTGTAGACATTTTGCTCATGCCATCAAGATTTGAGCCCTGTGGTCTGAATCAGCTATATGCTATGAGCTACGGGACAATACCAGTTGTCCATGCTGTTGGCGGATTGAGGGATACTGTTGTCCCTTTTAATCCATACGAAGAGTCAGGGCTTGGGTGGACATTTGACAGTGCTAGCACAGATAAGCTGATACCTGCATTAGGAAACTGCTTATACACTTACCGAGAATACAAGAAGAGTTGGGAAGGCCTACAAAAACGTGGGATGATGCAAGACCTCAGCTGGGATCATGCTGCAGAAAAGTATGAGGAGGTCCTTGTTACAGCCAAGTACCAATGGTGAGTATTTGTGTTCTGTGGTTATGACATATTGAGTTTTAGCCGGGCTGATATATTTGGAGATCAACCATCCTGGAGTAATTTCAATTCCAAGAGCCTTCTCTCATTGAAGGATATGCGAAGATCAAGTTGTTTTTTCGCTTAGGCTTTTTGACAGTAGTAAAGGAGTTTTTTTTGCGTTGCTAGTCAGTATATAGGTAATTGGTGTACCCAAATATTGATTTTTTTGGGGTTGTTATAAGTCAGGATGAGGAAGAGAGCAGTCGCACGTGCAAGTAACATTAATATATTCACTAACGTATATTGCAACTTGCCGTTTTTACTCTTCAGTTATAAGTGATAGACGCTTGTGATTTTAATAAAATGGCTGGCCCTTGTGATTTTTTCCTTCCAATGAAGTTTCTGAAATCAATTAGGAACCTTGATCAAGAACCTTAATAAACAAACTTAAATCATATTTCTTTTTATTAACTTAAAAAGTCCAAACAGAATACAACAATGACAGTTCAGGCATTAACCATGGTTCCATGAATGTCCCACAAAGATAAGGTATTCCCACAAACATTGAAATTTTTTTTTCTTCAAATACCCACAAATATTAAAAATTGTGGGGGCATTGGAGCAAGCAACAAATCTTAGACTCACAAGGGATTCTCTCTTTCTATATTTGCAACTCCGGTGGGAGCTTTAGGTACAAGGAACTCTTCTTTCTCAGCCAAATTGCAAATAGGAGCGGGTAAAGAATAATCCAGCAAAGCCCTTGGACAGACAGCCTTCAACTGCACATGGGGATTTGGAAGAGCACAAGGGACTACCATTCTTAACGATTTCCATGCAATCTTCAGCAAGGTTATCAGGTGGATTCTCTCCGCAGTTACCTGCTTTGTGAATAAGCACCCTACTTCTTTTTGAATTCAGTGGGGAATTAATGGTTTCAGAAAACTCCATCTCATCATCTTCAAGAGCTGGCAGCTTTCTTTTCAAACCAGGGACACTTTTCAAGCCTTAAACAAAAATCTCTCACGATTATTACAGTACCAGATGCACATTCAACTTGTTTAATATACATCAGACTAGCTAATATATGGCACTAAATCAGAATGTCAGTTTAATTGACTTACCAGGAAGAGATTCCTCGTATAGGCATGACTGAGACTCTGAATCACCACAGCTACAAAAAATATTTATATTTTCACAGGCTCCCGATACTCTGGAAGAACAATT